TGATGGCAACCCTGTCATTAGTGAACTGCTAATGGCAGGTGTTACCAGAGATTCAACATCTGTATACACAGTGTTAAACTGTCATGTTTGACTGGTATTCTCATAAATCCAGACATCATCACTGTGTCCCACACCAGCTGTTTGTATTATTCAGCCTTCTTCTGGATATGTTCTTCTCCCTCCTCATTTGGTTATCCTTCGTTAAATCAATTTGTTCATTTATTTTATTTATCATTTGTCCTTCAATTTACTGCTAGTTAATTTTATTAGTTATATGAAATAAATGCTTCATTAACCAGTGTACACAAGCCTACTGTCTAATTGTATTGTAAATCCATGAATCTATACGCTTTTTGGAGGACGTCCACACTTTTTAAGTCTTCTGTTGTATAATAATAACCAATCCATCTGCTGTTCTATTTACTGGCCTAATTATACCATGTCCTTGTCTACTCATTTTGTTCGTGTGCACGTCTAATGCCATCCCTTCCATTATGCCTATCATATCAAGCTATGTTATAAATGCATTAATTACTTGATTATCATATGTCCCAAGGTCATACTTACAATATACTCAGTATAACATGGACAGAATTTTTGCCACTCAATAATTCACTATTGACAATCACCAAAGATTTTTGCCACTCAATATTTTGATAATGAAAATAATCCTTGATTTTTGCCAATAAATATTTTTGCTTTTGACAACCACACAATATTTTTTAGCACTTTAACCACTATTGAGGCAACAAGTGCAATATTTTGCCATCAATATTTTCGTATTGACACTTGCTGATGTTTGCCATTCAACACTAAAGTCATTTTTCCAGTATTTTTGCCAATCAGTATTTTTTGCTATTGACAATCAATCACCCATTAGTTTTGTCATTTAATTATTTATGATTGATGTGACTATATTATAATCTTTCATCAAACGTCAAGAGCAATGAATCTTGAATGTTGCAAAACGATAAATTCAGATGGATTTGGTCTATTTTTATTTGCTCTACAATTTATGACGGCATTTCACCATGCCTTACAAAGCAATATAAAAAAATACTATAAAAACCTGACAAATTAGTGTTTTTGTGAGCCTACTATTGGTCGCGCTTGACAAATCTTGATTCTGCCGCCTTATACTTATACTTTTTACTTTGCCGAATAAATATTATTATTATATAGCATGATAGTATCTTTTTTCTGCTAATTATTTTGCAAATGGTAACAAATCATAATAAAAGACACATTAAAAAACAGGATGTCGAAACTTGTTGCGTGTATTGGTCTTGTTTAGTCATTGTATCAGTAAAGCTAATTAGTTACAATTGGTTACTGTTAAAATCATATCTGTTATATCAATTATATCCCAGATAACTAAAAAAACTGTGACAGGGATGCTGTGTTAATAATATGCTCCAGGCAGTCGGCCGAACCTGTCTGCATCTCTTTTAGCTACTATGCCGACATTTGTCTCCGTTATAGACGCGTGTCTAGCTACAGGTATTTTAATCTGGATATGTTCCACGGTCGAACACAGTGGCTCTGTCCTATGGCAAATTTCATGCTTCGACTACCGTACACATTTTCAAACTGGTTGAATGAACTCGGTGAAACAAGTAATTATTGCCTTTTGTTAAATATTATACAAATAAAGCCAAATTTTACTAGAATTAATTAGCAGCCAATTGTGTAAAAAATTGTGACTTGAGTTTGATCTCATTATTACGTCTGGTTCCGTCCAGAGATTAAACAAAAAATGCTACAGTATTTAAATAATATAGTGGCGTCAAACAGTGGCCCATTTTGGATTTGTTGGTATCATGTTTCATAATTATAAACTGTAACAGCCTCCACAGCTTACACCTCCTTCATATTAACTGCTAAATTCGTGAATTTATAATACCACAAGTTGCTATGCATTCCACATGTGCCAATAAAAACAAAATTTTGAAAATTCCGAAAATAGTTGATACTTTATTGTAACCCTAACTGTCATAAATATCTTCAGCATTAAGATTTATGGTACATACATGTTAATTTATTAGTTATTGCTTTGTTGGGTTTTCTCAGCATAACAACATTTTATCTCACTCTTGTCACTACACTCTATGTTTTTAGGGCTGGAGGCATATTTGTGATGGTAACCATTCATGTAGTTCATTTGTTCTTCTTTGAAATTGTCATTTTTAAAAGATGAGCACATAACACTCCAGTTAAAATGCAAAAATAGTCAGTAGAATTTTACTAGAAGCCAATAGTCTGATAGTCTTATTGGCGCACACAGAACTTATTGTCAACAGACAAATGTGGCTGTCTGTAGTGTTATTAATACTGTACCCCTAAAAAAATAACAAAACAGTATTACATAACAATACATTGAAACTATATAAATTTCATAATGATGATAGTATAGTACTTTACCAAATTCATGTTAACACAAATTTATTTTTATTACCAAAATTCATGTCGCTCGGCTCTGACAAATTATTGTTTAGAATCTAAACTGTTGTGTGACAAAAATAGCAATACAACCATTCAATGAAAGGGACTGTCCCTTTACTAAAATGACATCGTCCAATCATGAGTTATTTTTATGATTTATTGTATTGATGCTGCATGTTCCCTTAATGGAAGTATATCCTATTGTATGTTGCTATCACTTTCATTTAAGTGGTGCACATGACTATAATTGTTGTTTTAGTTAAGCATCAACAAAGTCTTTGTTTTTTTGTTTTTTTTTTAAGGCAGGGTATTTTTTTTAAATTTGTTTATCACTTATAAATATTCAGTTCTTAAAGGCAGGCTCTGGAGTAAATAACATTTTTTGATAGTGTACTCTATGTTGTAAAACCGATTTTTCAAGACATAGAAACGATGAAAACAAGATTAAGAGATTTTTTAATATTCAAAAACTTGGGAAAAAGAGTGGTTAACCCCCTCTCCCCCCCCCCATTTTTTAAATATTTAAAAAGCTGTGTCTCTCAATAATAACCATCCTGAATTCATCATCAAGAACATTCTTTTTGTGTTTTATAAAAGTCAGTACAAGATTTTAAAATTGTTTTTTCCTCCGGAGCTTGGCCTTAAAAAAGTAATTTATTAATTAATAAGTTATTAACATGATGTAATTACTGTATACAAGCATGTGATTCAATAGCATAGGCTTTCAGTAAACAAATCCAGGGTTCGAGCCGAAGGCAAACCCCTTTTTTTTATCCTTGAGCAAGGCATTCCAACTTGTCTGTCTTCACAGGTAGGCTGGAATGTCATTGCCCTGTTAACTACCAGCCAACATTTTATAGAGCATTTGCCCTAGGGAGTAATACAATGTGTTTTCCATGCATGTAGGTGTCTGCACTGTTGATAATAGTATTAAGACCTTGGCATTAGCATAGCAGCTATTTATAAGATTGATATAATTTGATATCATGTCATAATTATGGTATCTTCTAATCATATTTGCATTGAACTTTGACTCTTGTATGTTCAAGGTCATAATGTCATTGTTTTTTGTGTAAAAGCATGTGCCTAGTACATGTGCCTAGGTATTATTGTCAAGAATTATATCATCTTTTTAAAAATTTCTTTCTAATAGACTATATAAAAAGATAAGTTTTTTTCAAAAAATGAAGACTTTACCCATGATTCTACTTCAACTATTGCTGTGTTTATATTTAATATTTCATAATTTTATTTTTTTTTTCATTATTGAATCCTTGTATCTTTTGTAATTATTAAATATGTATTTTTTTTTTTTTTTTATTAAAATGATGTGAGGAGCAATGAATCATAAAATATTTGGAGGTATTTTCTTGAGCAGATGTTCCTTATGGGATATTTTTTTTAATTACACATTTTTTTTTTAAGCGTGCTATATTGAAATACATCGGGAAGCTTTCGATCTGTGCAGCGACACAATGCTAGAACGGAATTACTCATGCGTGACCGGGTGTCCTACGTTCTCTGCATACGTAAATTTGGCCAAATTGCATCCTAGAATCCATGCGACGAGCTCCTCTCATATGCGCAGGTGTCTTTTACTGACGTCATTACGTTCTACGTCCTACCGTCTTCGTCTAATCAAAAGATCCCTATTATTGATTTCACATCAAAGTTTCAAGTGATTTGCTATACCTGAAGAAAAACGTGTCCTAATGGGAAAATACAAGGGTTTATGTACATTACTACTTGGCCTCATAGCTCAGTTGGTAGAGTATCCGAACAGTAATCGGAAGGTCTTGGGTTCTAATCCTGATGGCGACATTACTGCAGTGTCGTTTGGAGTAATTCAATGAAAAAAAACTATTTTGATAAACTACAAATCTTGCAAAACCGTGCAGCAAAGATTATTACAAAATCTTCACAATGCGACTCCAGTACTTAAGCCTTGTAAGCTAGACCTTACTCTACTTAATCTTAAACAAAAAATGCACAATACTAAAGCAATAACTATGTATCAAATCTTCAATAACAATGTTCCATCATATCTTTCTAACCGCTTTCACTTAAGAGAAAATAGTTATAATACTAGACTTGCCAATGGCATTAACTTTAACATTCCTAAAGTGAACACCGAGTGCAAGAAAAATAGCCTCTCATATCATGGTGCTATGCTTTGGAATGACCTTTCCGATGAACTTAAATGTTCTTCCAATCTCCATATTTTCAAGCAAAGTCTTCATAAAAATTTTTGATTTTATCCATTGGCATCCCCGAAACTTAGAAATACCTGGTTGGTGTCCGGCGGGGGATAGTTTCACTGGTAGTTAAGATATTATGTTTTTGTTGTTTTCTTTAATTCATTTTGTTTTTAATATTTTTTTCTTTTCTAATTATGTATGACTTGCAAGGCCTTGATAAAAAACACCCATGGATGATTCAAGTGTCTCCATGTTTAAATACAGTATATTTTTATTATTACATGCGTTTTTCTCAAATATTTATTATCATTATTGATATTATTAATAATAGTAATTGGGGTTTTTTTTTCTGTTTTTCAGTCCAAGCTTCTGACGAAGGATTTGTTGGATTTAGTTGCGTCACATTATATGCTGAAGGAGAAGGGATACTTTGGTCTTTCATTTAGAGATAACAAGTAAGTCACACAGTTAACAAGCTAAATTTTATTACCAACTCATCTAGAAAACTGTAATAAAATAACAATAAAATATACAAACAACAATAAAAAACCACCAACACCAATAGCTATCATTTGATTTCCCGTCAATTGATAATGCGACGGTAGTGGGGGAGAGGGGAACAACTTGATTTTCTGCTACACAACAAGACAACCATTCGTAGAATCCTGTATGAAGAAAGCTTACCTAAAGCGAGTTAGATTGGTACGTGACCAGTTAATTCCGGCTTGAATACCGTAAAACTTTGAGTGGAATCCCTGGGCTTATTTTTTTTGTGAACTTTAGATTGGCTTCCTTTCCAGATGGGCTTCATTTCAAGGCTATTTTGCAAAGTAAAGAGGGGTTGGGGGGGGGGGGCTGGCTACTTTTGCATTGGGGGGGGGGGGCTTCTTTTCAAATTGAATGCTGTAAATGTTGTGAATTTGTACTAGAATACAATAAATAAGGCCACTGTACATAAATTTTGCTGGCATTAAATCACATAAACTACTGTATAAACCAAGTTTGTTTTTAATTTATTTTATTTTTTGATACTCATGTACCGTGTACATACTATAATATCTCGAAAAGAAACCTCTGCTACTTAAAATTTTGAGGCTAATTTTACAAACTAAAGAGGAGGCTTCATCTCGAGAATAAGCCTATTGGACTCGAGGTTTTACAATATACTGTAGGAAGATTGGAATTGTGTTAAATTGTTACAATGCACACAATGTTTATGAATGTTCCAGCCTAGGTCCTAGGAAGAATGGAAAAAACATTTTGGTATACAGTTCATTAATATTATGTAAACTAATATTATGCTCCCTTCATAAAGAAATTTTGGAAGTCATGTAAAGTCTCTATTTGATGTCGAATTATGAAACATGATAGACTGGGCACCAAGACCTGATGATTAGTGCATTAAATTCAACAATGACAATTTACAAAATTATTTAAATAACAAGATATTGTGAGACATGGGATTTAACTGTAAATGTTAACAAAAGTAACATTGTTGTTTTTAAAAAAGGGAATAAACTAAAGAAATATGAAAAATGGAATTACAATGGCACTACAATCGAAATTTCAAAATCATATAAGTATTTAGGAGTTACTTTAAATTCAAATGGTAAATGGAATAAAGCCAAAGAAAGTAATTTTCTACAAGCTAATAAAGCCTTATGTGCTTTGAAGGGGGTAATTCAGGGACGTTTTGGTCATCTACCGATTAACTTATGGAATCAAATTTTTGATGTTAAAGTATTACCGATTTTACTCTATGGCAGTGAAATGTGGGGTTTGGATGATATTTCATTTATTGATAAGATACAAATGAAATTTTGTAAATACATATTAGGAGTTGGCAAATCAGCACCCAATATTGGTGTTAGAGGAGAATGCGGGAGATACCCCATACATGTTGCATGTTCTGTTAACGTTATTAGGTATTGGTTAAGACTGATTTATATGGACAGTGAAAAATTTATTAGGCAATGCTATGACTTTCAATACAGAAAAACACAAAGAAACAAGCCTTGTTGGGCCTTAGATGTTAAAAATATATTATGTTCCATTGGTTTTGGAGATATTTGGCATGAACAAAAAGTCAACGATTTCAATGATTTTGTATTTAATCTAAAACAAAGGTTAACAGACATTGAAAATCAAAGGTTTTATGAAGAAATTAGGCAACATTCTAAATTAAAATTCTATTCACAAATTAAACATGAATTCAGAGCAGAGGATTATCTAAATACTGTAGACAATTACAGACATAAACAAATCCTTACGAAATTAAGATTGGGGATATTAGAATTAGAAAGAGGAAGATGTTATAATGTTAATAGAAATGAAAGATTATGCAAATTATGTTTGTTACAAAAAGTCGAAGATGAATATCATTTTACCTTAATTTGCCCTTTTTATTCAGATATTAGAACAAAATTTATATTTACCTGTTACACAGACACTCCGTCCGAATTCAAATTTCTTTATTTAATGTCTACTAAAAATGTTGATCTCATTTCAAAGTTATCAAAATGCTTATTATACTCATTTAAATGCAGAAAAGAATATCTAGATGCACTCTAATTTTGTTAATATAATATTTTGTATATTATTTGGGCCAGAGGCCTATATGATTAATAAATGTTCCTTGAAACTGTTTTTCAAGTAAGAAGAAAAGATTATCATTGTATATTTACGGATAATATTTCAGCTGCTCCAAGTTTCTTTCCTATTCTTCCTTCTTCCTGTTATAATTATTATATTGCATTTATTGATAATAGGCCTGTAAATTATTAAACCTAGGCTAGCCAAGTGCCTAGAACCTAGCCTGCAACTTTCGTAAACGTTGTATGCATTATATACTCAATGTAACACAATTCAATCTTCCTATATTGAAGCCCGAGTTAGCTGACCGCATGAAAAACGTTGAATTTTACAGTTTAGACTTGTTGCAGAAAAGATTTGCCTACAGGGAAGTTTATCAAAGCATCATCAAGCTATAGCGCCCTCTGGAGCATGTTATGTTACCATACTAATTAATTTTTTTTTTTTGTGATTGATTGTTATTTTCACTGTATAATTCAATGCAGTTTTTCATGAATTCACCTCAACTCTTGCCAGAGCATTTTGATAAATCAATCCTCAGAAATGTTAAAATGCTTTCATTTGATTAATTTATCACAAATCCAATACATTGAATTTCTTTCTAAATTGTTACTGTACATCGTAGCAGTGATCTATATTCAGTAACTGCAGCGGTGCGATGTAGCGATTGATTCCGTGGATTATCTTTGAATATAACTTCAGAACACCGTCTTTAATCAGCGTTTTTAGACATTCTACATAATAAAGCTAGATTACCACATACATTGCTACTAGTCAAATCTCCAATAAAAAAAAAAACACATTTTTTTTCTATAGATTCAACACCATATCGTCAGGTAAAAAAAAATATATACGTTCTTAGCTCACGCATAACTTATTTGATTAGATACATTGTCATAGTAAATTTTTATTTAAAATAATAAAATTAAATTTTAGCTGTACTAAAATGTGTATATTAAAGATTATTTTATTTTTTCCTTGAGTTTTTGTGTAATATTACAACTTGCAAGTTTAAGATAATAACTGTACCAAAATGTGTATATTTTTATTTTTCTTTGAAAAACAAATATTTCCATAATTTTGTAGATTAGATTTATTATAAATCTTATTATGTTATTTTGATTTGCATACTTTAATTTTTTTTTTATTACTACTTGGAAATTTAAGTTAATAACTTCAATTTCTATGTATTTTACTTTGTTAAATATTAAAAAAAATAATAGTCTTAGTATTGAATCTAAATGGTACGTAGTAGTATGCGATCTGTTAGTTTTAAATTCTTGAGTTAGAAACCTACTGTATTTGATGTGATGCTACATTTGGTATTACAGCTGAAGAAATTCATTATGTAGAATTTTGAAGGATCGGTTTCCAATTCATGAGCTAGAAACATATTACTTAATATATTTGACATCAACCAGTACATTTGATATGTTTACAACCAGTTGACAAAATTCTTTATTAAGAATTTAAAAGGATCTGGTTAAAATCTATGAAATTGAAATTCATTATTTATAATATTTTACATCAAGGTGCATGATATATGTTTACAACTGACAGTTTATTTTAATTTAGAATTTAAAAGGATGTGTTTAAAATTCATGAATTAGAAACCCATTACGAATACTATTTGATATGTTTTACAACTGACAAAATTCTGTATTTAGAATTTAAAAGGATCTGTTTAAAATTCATGAATTAGATGTCTGTTATATAATATTGAACATCGAGCTACATTTGATGTTTACAATTAACAGAATTTTTTAGTAGTGATATTTTAAAGGGGTTTGTTTAAAATTCTTGAATTAGAAATCCATTACATAATATTTAATTATTAAGCTACAGTAATTTTGATATGTTTATTATTATTATTATTATTATTATTGTTATTATTATTTATTATTATTATTATTATTAAATTATTTACAGTATTTATTTAGGCACACAACAAATTCGCAGTACAATAATACAGTAATTGTTTGAAAAGTGTAAATTTATGAACAAAATAAGAACAGTTTGTTTGAGCCTGAAATCTGCCAAAAATATGAACACTGAGCCTGAGCAAAATTTTACTAGGTTTTTTTTTTTTTTTTTTTTTCAATTCAATATACATTTATTCAATTAATGGATGAACATAACAAAAATCTTCCCTCATATAAAAAAAAGTGTAATTCATAGTCAACGAAAGTGGAATGTTTAAGCACTCCAATATCCTAGCTTATAGTAGAACACAAAATGGCTTACAGGTAAAACAAAGAATAAGTAGAATATAAGTCTATGCACACTGATAAGTAATATGGCTTACTAAAGATTTACTGGCCACTTTGGACTTCCTCTAACGGGCGCAAGGACCAAACAAATATCAAGTGATGCATTTTGATTGGCCAATTAATAATCCTTATTGAAAGACACGTATCTTTTTGCAACATTTGAATCCATAACGTATTTTGAAATTTGCATTCTACAATAATTTTACGTAGTATGTTAAACTCAATGAATTACTGTATAAGCCTGCATGCTGATTACAGCTTGCTATATTGTAATGAACAATGCTGGTGTTAGGTTTCCCTATTTTTTATTGTACTGTAGGTGGCGTTCCCAATTAGGTAATTTTCAGTTTTGCATATAAGACCGAGTCTTTCAGTTTGTTCATATGAATCACAGAAGCTACCCATTTGGTTTTAATGTACATTCCTTTAGCGAATAAATGCATATAATTGATTGTAGTTGCTGTTATTAATTGACTGGAACAATTGTAGCAGGGTCACCGACGAGCAGGTTAACAGCATTACCCCCTCCCCCACCCCACAAGGCATGTCACATGTTATTGTAAAATTATACTTAACAATCTGGAAAGAGCTATACGCATTCTGCCCACTGCAGATTCTACAAGCTGCTGTATGTACAATACTCATCTAGTTTCAATCCTTTACCTCAAACTGTATATTCCTTTCATTGTTCAAGACATCAAACATCCACCTTCCACTTTTTTCCTTAAAAACAACCTGCAGATTTTAAATCTAACATTAGTGACTCAGTTTTAACTTTATCTCTTTGCCTAGAACATGTAGGTTTTACATTTGCTGGGCATGAAGTAAAAAAAAAATGCCAAATATGAATAGTTATGGAAGTTGTATAATCTCATAGTGAAATAGGAAATATCAGAAAAGTGAAAGTTGTCTTATAGTGAAAGAAGAAATATGGAGCATAAAATATACTATCATACCCAAAATAAACCCGAAGAAAACCCCATGAATCATGCTTCGTGCGTCAGCTATTTTAGGCACACAGCACTACGCTGGCTCATAAATTACAGGTACAGTGGCCTTCGGGAAAAGGTAGGTCACGGAAGACTTTAAATAAGGTCGTGTAACTTAATGTTGAAGCTAAGCTATTTACCATGTATAAAACATTGATGGATTACCGTGAAGTACAGTATACCATCATGATATGAAAATGTCTAAATCATGCCTGGATTTTTCTCTTCCTGTCCATGAATTCGGTACATAACGTCCGTAGTGAATTCAGCAACCTTTAACGTGCCAAATTCTTTGGTGGGGAAGCAGTACATTCACTATGGATTTAGGGTTAGGGGTTAAGTTCATTGGGAGTGCCGGGCTGTAGCTATAGAAAACTAAGGGTGGGTAGGTGATAACATTTGTAAACTCTAAGTATAAGGGTTTTGAGGATGGGCAAAGGAGTTAATGAAGGTGGTTGGAGGGCTAGGAAATTAGCTTTAGCCTTGGTGGAAAACTAAGGGTGGTGGCCCCCTTCCTTCTCTGACCACCATAGCTATATCCCTGGCAGTGGGGGTAAATCCAGACATTGATATTAAACAGATAATATAATGTGATTAATAATACTTCATAAAATAGTAGATATTTTTTATATCATTTTCTGTGGTCAGTTTTAGGGTAGAGCCATGTTGCTTTCATGTTCATATGTACAATATACGCCTTAATGTAGTTAATGTAAATGTAGTTTTATAGCGCTTTATACTGAAGTCTCAAAGCGCTCAAGGTGTAGACTAGATCGTACAGTAACTTGTTTCTTCCCTAATGGTCTCTTTATGTCTCGGCTACCCGGTAAACCAGTACCAGCTGCCCTCATCTGTCCACAGCAGTGGTTATATATGGAGCCCCTTACTCGTCTCAAAGATGTACTGGGTTCTTTAAAGTGCACATGGCCCAAATTGTGTACACTGCATTGTGTCTACGGTTTATAGTCCTTCCGCGAAGACTTGTTCCACCACCAGAACCATAGGAGGGCGTTCAAACCAGCACGTTGAGCCACCCCTGCTTTAAACCTTCGGCCATTTGTCTTACCATGTTACTATTTTCCATTCCCATCGACATTTTATTACTATTGTTGATTCTTTGTTCTGTTTTTTTGTTTTTTGTTTTTTTTTTATTTATGAGAGACCTTGGTATAATAATATGCAATATTACAAAAAATTCCAGTACACATTATATTTTATGATTTTCTTTACATCTAATTTACATTTTCAATGTACATTTATGCGTGTATTTTATTTTATGTTGTCTGGAACACAATGAAAACCAGTGTGGTTTCATTGGGAAAACCATTTAGAATAAAATATTAATGATATATAAAAGATAAACAAATATTAATACTGTAAATATTAATAATATTAACATGCAATTTCATTGCGAACATGTTGTAGAATGGTTTCAAAAGCAAATATAATTCTCATTAATTTTTATGATGTAATAAACTGAATTAGTCACCAAACCAAAGCCGTTATAGTGGGTATAACATCAAACCAACAGCTAGGTGACAGTTTTTTCACACAATAATAAGCCTCCGCTCGAGTAAATTTGGACAGTCTTTAAACTCCTCAAACTTTTTTATTTCTACATTTTATCATAAAATAACTTATCAGAAAGCCTTGGTAAATATTTCTTTAATAAACATCATAAGTATTGACCTGCTAGATTTGAAATGGAGTGAAAAAAGAAATGGAAAACTTAAGCATTTTTGCATAGCCTCCTCTCATGAAAACATGCCTAGACTAGAGAGTCATACAAATAACGTTCTTCTGACTCATTGGCAATTGTAGTTAAAAAAAAACAATTAAAGTTTGTCCAGTAGTTTAAATACTTCATACAGAAATTGCAACAAAATGACTTGGTGACAGTATTTTAGCTGAATGTGTACCTCTAATCAACAGCGATCACCTTAGTCAAAGCTGGATGTGGCGAGTCCTACGAGCGACGGGACACGGCCCCCAAAAAGTCCACTCAAATTTCTTCATAATTTTAGTCTGAATGGAAATTTAAATCTCAAGAATCTATGAATCATTGAAAATGTTTGTTATAAAAATTATCTTCTACGCTAACTTCATTACATTTTAGATGATTTAATAGACACCACTTTCGAATCCGCTCAATGTTAGCATAGGACTTTACGATGTAAACAAATTTTAATACCAAATCAGTCAAATTTTGATGACGTCATCTTTGGTGACTAATTTGGTTTTAAGAATGGATTTTTTAAAATGATTCAACAAGCATATTACTACGTTTTTATGTATCTTGTGCACGTTGTATATTTTGAAACAAATTCAAATTGATATAATTCATTTTCTATAAAGCTAATATCATTCTTCAATCAAAATTCAAACGCCTTTGCAAGAGTCATTGTACTCAAATAGTGAAAGCAGTGATACATGGCTGTTAAATTAGTCTTTGATTTGATAATACATTATCAAGTGAGCTGTGGATGTAAATTTCGAATTATGAAAAGCTAATGACATTCTTGAATTAAAACGGTTTTTTGCATGGAAGTCATGTAAAGCAATATCACAAAACCAGTTCGGATAGTCCAAAGATTTGTTTCCAGTGAGGTTTTTCTTGTGGTGAATTGCACACGGAACCAACGGCTTAATTGTCTCAACCGAAAGACAGTTCATTATCATAACTTGTATTTCAGCCCTCCGGCTGAAACACAAGGAAAGTCAGCGGTGGGAATTTAACTGCGGACCTAGAGATCTGCACAGTTCAGCACACGCACACACAGTAGCTACCACCATTTTTAATAGCTAAGCTGCTCAATTGAAATTATCTTTGATTTGATAGTACAGTATAAATTTTATGAAGTGAGCCCTCTATTGTCATTGATTAAAAAAATATGAAAAGCTAATGACATTCTTCAATTAAAATTCAAATATTTTTGCAGCTTGAGAGTCAGGTAAAGCATGGGTAAAAGCAATAATACACAATTCTTGAAAATTACCTTTGCTTTGATAATATGAATTATATGAAGTGAGCCCTCTATTGTCATGGATGTCAATTTCAAAATGTGCAAGCACTTTGAAGTGAGCCCTCTAGTGTTGTCCCGGTTAACTGTTATGTATTTACAAACACGGTAGTAAAGCTTTCTATTGTATGCAGAATCCCTGTAAAGTATTGAATACAATAGATTGCTGATCCAGGCACTGATGCGTCAGACGTGCATTACCATATGAAAGGCCCCACGCCCGAGTGGTGAAACAGAACCTATCAAGGCTATGAATCAGGCCTAGTT